TTGGGTTAAACATTACAATATCAATACATATCAGTAATACAGAAGTATGATGTTCTTCAAGTACTTAAGTTCAAGTTCTTAAAGCAGCTTTTTCATTTCCAGGTGGTGCGTGGAGCTACAGTAAGGCTGGATTAAATTTCACTGTGTCATTAGTGTGGGTTCAAGGAAAGGTGGTATCTTTCACTGAGGACAAGAAGCAGGTTTGTAATATTAATTGATGTGCTACAAGATTTATTCTAATTTTGTAATGATTCTTGTTATTGCAAGACCAACAGGGCAACTAGCACCCTTTTCTTGGCTGAAAAAGCTTAATAGAAGATTGATATTTAGAGAAGTTGGTTTGTAATTGACTTGAATTCAACAGATATTTCATATTTTTTTTTACTGTACTGTCAGACACAATGGAGCTCCTGGAAGTGAGGTTAGATGAATTAATCAGATGCAATCGTATTGTACCATATTTAGTGATAATAGAAACAGATAACTAACACTTACTTTAAATATATGTCCCGTTTATGATTTAGCGAGATCATTCCTCAGACATATCTTTCATTTGTAACATTAGATAGGTGATAGGTTATATGTAAAGCAAATATTAAGTTTTAAAAAGAAATAAGACTTGTAGCCTGTAATCATTTTTATGTTTCTGTTTAGAGATCAGCTATTTTAAGGAAGACAAAAATATTAAATATTGAATATTATGTATTTGTTCATATTTTTTTCAGAGATGAATAAGGATTATCATGTATTTTGATTCTAACTTACCACTTAAATGTTTAATATGTAAGACATTTCTGAAAATGGTTTGTTGCATAAAATATCACAATCCATCTGGTGCTAATAACAGTAGCAGAACTAATTGCTTGACCAGGTGACATTAATTTTTCAGGTAATCTTGCAAGATGGAAATACCAATGTCAGTATTACAAACTGTCATACCATTCCTGGTGGAAATGCCTGGATTTCACAAGGTTAGTCAGTTATTGATGATGCCCATTCACATCATTCTTTGAAAAAAAAATTGTTTATATCACAGGGATAGTAGATCTTTATCACTTTCATATTTATAAAAAAAAAAGAAAAGAAAAGAAAAAGTTTGAATTTGGGGTTCCTAAAAAACGTTTCTCCTCTTAATTTCAAACAAGTCACAAAGTATGCAATCAGTGACTGAAGGAGCTGGTTGTGAAAAAAAAATAGGTATTACTGAAAGTCATACTAAGTGGCTAAATTCTATTCATAAATTGAAAATAAATGGAGGTATAGATAGTGTGTGCTAAGTGCGCTAAGGCCCCAAAGTGTTGATCAAGTGTTCAGGAGTTCAAGGCTGTCTAGTGCCACTAGTGCCACAAGTGATAAGGATTCCAACTATTCCTATAGAATCTGTTGGTCAATCTATGCTTCATATGGAATTGGCCACCGTATTTTTTCTCTCTCTCACACATACACATTAGACCAATATTTGTGATTTTTCTTTTCTTTTCTGTATCTTTATTACTATTAGTACAAATAAATTCCTTCAAATATGCATGAGATGTTTATGGTGTCAAACTACTTAACATTCTCAGAAATTATTAATGTATATCAACAACTGAGAAGAGCGATGGTCTTTCACCCAATCATGCCAGGATAACATCCTATCACATCATTGCAGACTATCATTCAAGCCAGGCTGACAGCTTTGTGTCATGCACGGTTGAGCTTACTTTGAGTTGTGCATGCTAGACAGTTATGCTCTTGTTTGGCCCTGTAGAGAAATATCCCCTCAAAAGCAGCCTGATTACCTGAAAAACTGTTTATATTGCAGCCAAGAGCATAAAGAGCAGGGTTATTTTGTTTCCCATTCTTCTGATTTCTCCCTGGAGCAGCTGACTCTGCATGTATTCTAACTTGTTGCTTGGTATTGATCTGGGGGCGCCCATTGTGATAGCGTAAACCCTTTCATCATGGGTAAATTTTTACACAAGTTTAGTGAGGTCAGAGAGGGTCAGCACTCATTGTGCCTGTGCTATTTATCGGCTGACATAAGGACTCCATAGGCATCATCCTGGCCATTGGGACGTTAGATGTTGATAGTTTTCACCACAGTGTCTTTACTTTCATTTACTTACTACTGAAATATTAGTTCTCTTCTGACTGCAACTTTCCATTCCCCCCTCTCTCCCTCTCTCTCTCTCTCTCTCTCTCTCTCTCTCTCTCTCTCTCTCTCTCTCTCTCTCTCTCTCTCTCTCTCTCTCTCTCTCTCTCTCTCTCTCTCTCTCTCTCTGTCTGTTCTTTTACACACACATATTCATCCATTCATTCCCAATGTATTAATGTAGCAATATTATCTGAGAGTATCGAGCATGGCACTCTGTTTTAATCTCCCCAAAAGGCCAGTACGTGATGGTAGTAGGTGAAATGCAAGAGGAATTAGATGGCACAAACGCCATCCGTGCAATCAAGATGGCTGACTTATCTTCCAATAGTGTACACGCAGCCACTTGGAAGAATGAAGTTGCTGAAATCAAGGCCTTAATGCGCGAAAATGCAAGCTTGTGCTCCTGATGGCTTCCTGAATATAGAAGGCTACTGAGAGCTAGATACTGAAACCATGAGGATTTTTCTTCTTCTTCTTTTTCAAAGTTTGTTATAGAGCTACATTGCTCTTGTTACAATTTCTTACTCTCTGGTAAATGCATAATACACTGAATTGTAAAAATTTAAACTTTGTAAACAGATTTTTTACAAATAAAAATAATTTGAATGAGATATTATTGAAAAACCTTTTACATAATAAAAATGTTTATTTCAAAATGTTATACAGAATATTGTACTTCCAGTGAAAAGAGAAATGACAAAAAAGTGCACTAGGCTGTTGCAATATCTCGCAACAATATCCAGCAAAAACTATCTAATGGAAATAATAGGCCTATTACACTTTTAAATGTTTTAGTTGACTTTCCTAAATTACAAATTATTGTACATCAAACAATATAAAAAGGATCTCTTGGCTAATCCAGCTACTAATGACATTTCTTAGAAAACATCCTCCAGAGAAATAAAAATAGATATAAATATTTATGTTCAATTCTTCTTCTCTTCCGTGTTAATATTGTACTTTGTCTTCACACGATCCAGTTCTGCTTGCTTCTTCTCAGCATCCATTTTCTTGAAAGCCTTATTACTCTGTAAAACGAGAAGGGTAAACGTAATGAGTGCACAAATACATTTCTAATTATACATGTCATATCACTAGTATGTCCTATATCTATTTAGAATGATACATGTGACCTAAGCTAGTAAATATTTGTAATAGTAAATAACTTTGCACAAATAACTGACATGTAAGTCTTGAATATTCACTGCTACATTATTCAGTTCATATGTTCAGAATGTGCACTCTAACTGTGTAAAATTAACCCCCTTACCTGATAGTAGAGAACAACCAAGTATCTTCCACAGACGTTGAAACCAGAGAGATGATCACATGCATTTTTCGCATCAAAAATATCTTCATAAACAACAAAAGCTGTACCTCGTGTCTCTGGGGTGTTGCCTCTACAAATAGAAAATAACCATAAATACTCATGATACAACAATGGTGTGGCTGCTGAATAGGAAGATAATGAAATGAATAATATTATACATTAGAATATATCCTTAAAATGACTATACAATAATGTAGCTAACTAGATACAAGCTTTTGGGGACCTTTAACATGGAAGATTAAAGCAATACTTGATATAGCAAGAGAAACAACTTCTTTGCATGAAAATTTTAAATTAACCCATTCGTGCAGGGTAAAAATGAACAAAAAATGGGGAAAAATGCTGTGCTCATTTTTTATACTTTTTGTGAAATTTCTCTACACTAGATGGCTCTGCCTTACCTGATTTCATTTGGCGGGAAAATGTATTTTTTACTCGTGCTATGAATATCGATGGTTATTTTTATTATAAACATTATAATTACTATAATGTTATGAACATTAGTAACAGCAAAATAAGATAACGCAAAATAATTTCATAAATTAAAGAAAAGCGTAAACAGGCAAGACAGGCAGTACAAGTACAAGTGTAGCCATCTATGTAAGAAAACAATTAAACAAGTAAACTCACAGTGGGCCTGTCACGTATACGTGACGCCCGGCGCGAATGGATTAAAGGAAATTTTGAACAGTATACAAAATGAATCATAAACAGCCACTTGTAAAGGGCCCTTTTGTTAGATAAATATAACATAATGGTAAGATAGAAGTCTAATGGGTGAGTCATACTTACACTCTAATCTGTCTGATGGCACCATATTTTCCAAAAATATCATACATTTCCTCCCCTGTGATTTTGTAAGGCAAGTTTCGCACATAGAGTATGCGGTTAACCTCTGGAGGTAGACGAACCTATGGAAAAATGATGGTATGAGTGTTAGTTTACATATTTGAAAAATAATAGTATCAATATTAATATAAATATTTAAAAAATAATGGTAGCTGTATAAATATAAGTACTTGCTCTTTTAAAAGCATGAACATATAAAATTAATTAATCAAAAGTGATGATAATAGTCCTTTAATATCTGACAATTAACCCATTAGTTGTAGACAGCACAAATAAAACAAGGAAAATAATAATTGTAAAAACAGATGGCATTTAGTGATGCTATAACCAACTTTGGCCACACCATAAAAGGAGTTTTTTTTACACTATAGCTCCAGTAAATAAATAAAAGGGTAAATAGACGAGACAAACAGTACTTGTAATTAGCTTATTGAAAGCTTAGTACAAGAGTAGCTATCTATGTGTAAAAATAATTAAACAAGTAAACTCAATGGGCATAGCATACATGTACACATCATGCCCGTCAGCATTGGATAACAAGATCAAAATGTGGTTATATAGACAGGTCAAATGACCCAAGATGGATAAAACATCTCAACTTGCCAACATCTGGCTCATGGCTTGGGCTACTAACCAAATTTTCCTGATTCACTTTTCTTTGTGGATAGGATCATGAGTGTTAACATATCCATTGCAGAACTAGCCAGTAAATTTCTTCAACTACATTCAATCCCAGCAAATCTGCTGTTTTCTTGGTTGATAATCTATAAATATCTAAAATCCAGAGGTATAACAAAAAATCTACATCCTCCTGGCCTTAAAAGGAAAAATATCTTCTTCTGAAACATACAATCTAACTAGTTTTGAATCTTATGTTAAAATTATGTGTTTTCCTAATAAGATATTCTTAAATATATCATTAAAGCAAGCATGACCATATACTTTCCTTACTCAGAAAAAAGTACAGAACAAAAATAACAGCGCGCCCAGTCACGGCAATTAAGATTATTGAATAATTTCTGTGACTTGGAGTTGGGTATTGTCAAGAATTACCCAAATACCTCGAATAGATTTTCAAGATTCAGACCTTCTCTAGATTATCACCTAAAAAACTGCCTTCGATGACTGTTTTTTTTCACTTAGATTATTGAATAATTTCTGTGACTTGGGAGTTGGGGGACTCATTCTGGCGAGTGTGTCGGCACTGTCAAGAATTACCCAAATACCTCGAATAGATTTTAAAGACTCTGACTTTCTCTAGATTACTACCTAAAAACCTGCCTTCGATGACTGTTTTCTGCTGCTAAAAGTGTTGTTTTATGCATTCATTGAGAGAATTACTGTCCCGTAGGTTTTCTCTTATCTCAGCCCAATCCTCCATCCAAAATTCACCCTGTATGCTCATCTCATCCTTACTTCTGCTACACACAGTCAATTTTCCCACATTACTGACTGTAAATATCTAAATCAAGGTAAAAATCACTCACATGCGTCCTCTTCTGTGCTAACGCCATTGTTGACACTGTAAACGTTCGGGGAGTATGTGTGTAAAAGCTTTTTTTTTGTATTTGTATCTAAAGATCACGTATGATGAATTAATATTTTATTGGTCAGCGGGTTTAAGTAAAATCGTACTCAAAGATCAGTCTAAAGAACACGTCTTCATAGATATATAATAAAATAAACTTTAGAGTCGGGATCCCTTTGAAATATCCTTGTTTACATTATTACCTTCGCGGTTTACGATCTTCTTGCCCCAACGATTTTTTGGTAAATTAACCCTTATTTGGTTAGGAATTGTGGTTAGAAAGATTTATTATGGAATGCGGGTTACTTAAGGCTTTAGAAGATAAGTTCCTTGCTGTTTCCGTGTAGTAATAAGGGACATATTAACTATTTCATTTAACTGTTTATTATACGGCGGTTTTGCTGTTCGTTTATTTATTTATTATTTCTGATTTATTTTATAATCTACTTATTTATTAAGAGGTTATTGCATATCTATTACCTCAATCCTTTATCATTTTGCTCTCCTGGGATTTTATGTTCGCATTGTCACCTTTTAGGGTAATTTTCTGTGGCATTATAATTTTTGTATTTGTGTTGTATGGAGTATTTGTTGTTATTTTAGATAAAGAAGTTATCTTTGATGGATATTAGCATAATTTAAGTATTTAGTTTTTAGTTTATCACAAGGATTTCACAATAGACTGTATATGGAATTGATGTAATCTATAACAGTTTTCATTGTTTTTACTTCTGTATGTATGGCAAGCTAGAGCTGAAAGTCAGGAGCACTGAGTGTACTTGGACTGTGAGGGGCACTTTCCACAATCGTTTTCCTTTATTTGTGGTGTTGCGGTTTGTGTCTGCAGATTATTTCACGCCAGCGACTGCAACTTATCGTCTTCTATATCAATATCAACTTCACTTTGCCCTGCCTTGGTGCATCTGTACCGTAAAATTTAGCTTTCTCAAGAGTTTGTCCTTTATCATTTGTTTTTATTTTAGATGATGTACACTTGGAAAAGAGCTATCAACTGGGGAAAAAAAAAATTAATAGTATTGGGATAGCAAAGTATATAATTTGTCTTAACCCAATGGTGACGGGTAAAAAAAAAAAAAAAAAAAACAACTCTACTCTCTGGCAAACCATGGCAGCGCACCGACTTTGAGTGCGGGAGTTCAGTACATCTGGCCGTATCACCAGCTCGCTGCACTTTGGCACGCCAACACGGCATACAGCCACACGCCACTTTTCACAGTAGTCTAATTTAAATATTTATTTAAAAATGAAATATATAGCCTTTCAGGATGTTTGTATTAATTTTTAATTTTTGCATAGGAGTCATGTTTGTTTATATGGGAGTGGTGGTCTCTGCCAGTGTTATATTATTGGATTATTTGCAGTTGGAAAGATCATAAAAAATGCAAAAATTAACAGAAAAAATCCTAGTGTGATAGAGCCTTGATGTAGACTAAGCATTTGAGTCACAGCAGCAGTATCTTTGATGAGGGACTGCATTTCCTCTCTCTCTCAAGACATATATGTATATGTATATGTATATGTATATGTATATGTATATGTATATGTATATGTATATGTATATGTATATGTATATGTATATGTATATGTATGTATATATGTATATATATATATATATATATATATATATATATATATATATATATATATATATATATATATATATATATATATATATATATATATATATATATATATATATAAATTATAAATATATATATATGATTTTAAATATATATATATATGTAATTATAAATATATATATATATATATATATATATATATATATATATATATAATTATAAATATATATATATGATTTTAAATATATATATATATATATATATATAATTATAAATATATATATATGATTTTAAATATATATATATATAATTATAAATATATATATATATATAATTATAAATATATATATAT